ATGACCGAACCTAACCAACCCTACCTAACCTAACCTATCTTTATAGGTAAGGTTAGGTTAGGTAGCCAAAAAAAGCTAGGTTAGGTTAGGTTAGGTAGGTTAGGTAGACGAAAAAACAGTAATTCATGAAAACTTGGCTTATTAGGCAAATCGGGCCTTGAATAGTAGGCTGAGAAGTGCGTTCTGGCTATTAGGTACGACATATATATATATATATATATGTCGTACCTAGTAGCCAGAACGCACTTTTATGCCTACTATGCAAGGCCCGATTTGCCTAATAAGCCAAGTTTTCCTGAATTAATTGTTTTTCGACAACCTAACCTACCTAACCTAACCTAACCTAACTTTTTCGGCTACCTCACCTAACCTAACCTCTAAAGATAGGTTAGGTTAGGTTAGGTAGGGTTGGTTAGGTTTGGTCATATATCTACGTTAATTTTAACTCCAATAAAAAAAAATTGACCTCATACATAATGAAATGGGTAGCTTTATCATTTCATAAGAAAAAAAATAGAGAAAATATATTAATTCAGGAAAACTTGGCTTATTAGGCAAATCTGGCCTTGCATAGTAGGCTAACAAGTGCGTTCTGGCTACTAGGTACGACATATATATATATATATATATATATATATATATATATGTGTCGTACCTAGTAGCCAGAACACACTTCTATGCCTACTATGCAAGGCCTGATTTGCCTAATAAGCCAAGTTTTTATGAATTAATTGGTTTTCGACTACCTAACCTACCTAACCTAACTTTTTCGGCTACCTAACCTAACCTAACCTAGAAAGATAGGTTAGGTTAGGTAGGGTTGGTTAGGTTCAGTCATATATCTACGTTATTTTTAACTCCAATAAAAAAACATTGACCTCATACGTAATGAAATGGGTAGCTTTATCATTTCATAAGAAAAAAATTAGGGAAAATATATTAATTCGGGAAAACTTGGCTTATTAGGCAAATCGGGCCTTGCATAGTAGGCTGAGAAGTGCGTTCTGGCTACTAGGTACGACATATATATATATATATAATATATATATATATATATATATATATATATATATATATATATATATATATATATATATATATATATATATATATATATATATATATATATATAAATAAAAAATGTGTGTGTATATATATATATGCCATGTGCAGCTTAAGGGTTAAGGAAATATGGCAATAAAGTTTTAAATTTGGCAATCTTGTTATAGACATGCAGTATAATTTTTTTTTTTTTTTTTTAAGGATAAATGAGCCACGAACTGTTGTCCTACATCGTGGCAAGAAGGGCTTTGGCTTTGTGTTACGTGGAGCAAAAGCAACATCTCCTCTCATGGAGCGACCCAATGAGCGAGGTCCAGCCCTCCAGTATTTAGATGATGTGGATCCAGGTGGTGTAGCTGATCTAGCTGGGCTCAAAAAGGGTGACTACTTAGTGAAGGTTTGTGCTTTGAACTTTTCCAGGTTTCCCATTGAGCTATTGATTACAATAGCTCTTTCCTATATAATTTTTGAAGTGCTGTACAATATATAATTTGGTTCTGCACCATTTGGAATGTGTACTTGCCTAATAGTGACTAGAGGGAAACGGTGTTTAGTTCTGTCTCGTCTGCTAGCCTTGTTGCACCTATTGCATTTTAAATTTATATAAGGAAAGGTGGCTTTTTTTTATTACTGTCACAATAACTAGACAGTACAATTTTGTGGTTATATTAGCCAATCAGAAGTACTCCATAATAAATACTGTGCATTACTTCATCTCAGTAATGTACAGAGTACTAATATACTGAAATCTATTTTATGTATTATTAACTGAATGCTTAGTAAAATTTATTTATTTCAACATAAAATTTGTACAATATTTTCAGAAATGTTGAGTTTTTCCTTATTGCTGATTGCAGATTAATGGTGAAGATGTATCACAAGCCTCGCACGAGCATGTTGTGACATTAATACGTAAATCGGGTGATCTGGTCCAGATGATGGTAGTAACTCCAACTCCAATCACCTTTATGACACACAAGCCACCAATTGGCAACTTGGGAACTATCAGACGTGGGTGCCAGACACTCCCTCGAAAACTCCATGCAGGTAGATGCATGTCCCTCTTTCTGTTCTCCAGACTCCGCTCGGACTGTACGTTGGATAGACTTGGGTTCATGGATCCTGATTGCTATCCACTTTTTTCTGGTGCAGTGGATAATGTACCCTGCTGGTTGCGAAGATAAGGAAGACCATAAGGAATGTTGGTCCCAAGAGCAATGTATTACATAACCTGACCATATTGAACTTTCAATGTATAATGTTTGAATGTCTACACAAAGACCTTGTTCTTGAGAAAAATTGCATGTAAACACTAATCATTTATATTTTAACCTGGATATGTTAGTTTTGCAAACTTTTCAATTACTTAGCATGTGAATGTCTAGAGTATTGTTCCTACCCTTTTGTAGTATGTCATTTATCACTGAACAATCCTGTGTTCATTTTATTATCTAATATTTATTCTCTTAAAAACTACAAAATCTTCAGCCTGATCAAAGAGTGTTGGTGTAAAAAGCAACACCCTCTTATTCCTTGATAATGCCTTTGTAATCCCTTGATGTTTCCACTACCTGCAAAGGAGTTTTTATTTGTTCATTTTTGTTTTACAAGAACAAAGCAGAATTTTGTATTAAATGTACAATTTGTATAGCTTAAGGCATAAGTAATAGACCACTGATCTAGATTTAAAAAAGTAAAACATTTATAAGTTGCATAGAAACTTCCTCTGCTCTGTCCAATTAATTTCATGTCCATAATTTTTTCACTTGCCATTTTACAGTCTAAATCCTAGGAGAAATAAGACTGATGCCTTTCATATTTGGCTTATGCTTTGCTACCAATCTGGATACTTGTTGAGGATTATTATCAAGTCAAATTTAATTGTCTTTTTTAATGACTGTCTGAATGTGAGAAGCGATAGCATGTGGAAAACTTCAGGATAACAAATCCCTTTATGTAATTACAGATGGTTTAGTGGAAAGTGCAAGATAATCTGTATTTTTTTCTGTAGACACAAAGATGAGAGTAGTTTTAATTTTCAGATAATGTTTGCCTGTAAGGTTTTTTGGAATTAATGGTTACTGAGGGCTATTACCTGTAAAGAGGGATGTGAAAGCTTGAGATGAAACACATGAGAAATCATGTCTTCAAATTTATATTTCTTAAGTATTAAGAAAGAGGGTAGCAATGCTGAATTTTACCTGAAACTGTTCACTTGTGGTATAGAATTATGGAAAATTTAGCATTGCCATCTCTTGGTAAATTCACTTCTTTGATTTCACCAAATATTTCTCTGATCTTATCCCATCTTTACCTTTCTAGCCTCACTCATACTTCATTTTTTTCTTTATTGGCACTAGCTCTGTGTGTACTGATTTGAAGAATCCTTTACAGGCAAACTGTTTTCTACAACTCGAATCTCCTCTCATGTAGGTGTTTTATTAATTGTTATTGGCACTATTGTGCTTTTTTTCAACCATATTCTTTCCTCAACAAAATTCAGTATGATGAAATAACCCTTGTGGCTGCCTAAGAGCTTGCTGCTGCCACCAAACTAACTGTGGTTGTGTGTGTGTCTCCCTCTTAGTGCGGTCGTCCCAAGCCCCCCCTGCACCCCCCCCAAGAGATCCCAGAACAACCTTAAGTGTTGGACGAGCAAGAGCTAAATCTATGGTGGCTGGACTACACGACATTGGTAAGATGGGCTGGCATTTCTTTTATTGGATGTTGTCCCAGTTTAACCTATTTAATAACTGCTAAATATTTTTATGGAAATAGGATTTAGAACAGTACACTAATGAAGTTAGCAGTCTGTGAGTTCTTAGTCTTGTATCATTGTCATTTCCTGTACCATAAGTTTCTTCTTGCTCTCCTGTTGACAGTTTTTTTCCTAATGGAAATTTTCTAGTAAACTTCTATGCATAATTTTCTTGTTTTCTGTAAATACTTGTAGCTGAGTAACATCGTAAGTGACAGTCTGAATTTTTCATCTATTGTTTCCAGCACTGACATTGAATCTTCAGTGTGCAAAAATGTGTATGTAAGCAATGATATTGATAGAAGGGAAATTTTGTGTAGCATGAATTAGGAATAGGAAATGGCATATTTATACAGATAGAGTACTCGGTTATATATACATGTTGTATAAATAATTGTTTGCATATATTTGTGCATCTGCTCATGTGCACACCCTTACATGTGCATGTAAGTGCATTAATGTGATGGCTCGCATGTTTATGATCTTACCATTTTTGTGTTTGTACTATATTTGGAGTATAATAGAAATCCTCCCCCTAACAATTCTTCCCCCCTAAAAAAAAAAATGATCAATTTCCAATCCCAAAATATTTCAAATAAAAATTTGCTGGTCACTGTGAAAGGTGCCAACAGGGTATCTTTGTTGTTAGAAAATTCACGTTTTACTTTAGTGCATTTCCTGGCAGTGTTGCAAGTACATTTACTTACGTGTTGTATTGCAAGAGAGCCAAATACAGTATATTCAGTAAAGATTGAAAAAATTTCAATATTGTTCATGGTATTGAAACTCATTTTACAACCTTATTGATTTTTCATTTTGCTATTGGTTTGGGCACATAAAATTTAAAAAATTGGCTAAGAATGATAAACCTGAGGCCACCCAGTGCTCCTACTATTGAGTAATCAGCTTTTTTTGATAATTTATTTTTGTTTTTTAGTGAAATAACCCCTAGGATTTTAACCACTGCACTGTGCAAAGCACCTTGAGGCACTAGATCGGGGGTATGCAGAGCACCTCATAGCGCTCGTAGGTATAGCATAGCATTCAAAACTCGCACAGCTACACAGGGTCCACAACGGCTTCATCAGGGCTCTCGTAAACACGCTTTTTTTTTCTCTCTGGGGGAGCCTCTACGGTTCCCCAGAGCTATCCAGGCTGATATGCTAATGTCAGACTTTGGCATCAGTCATGTGTATCGAGTTCTTTGGGCCTACCGGGGACCACGGTCAGAACCTGACCCCCTCAGAGAGGTAAGGGGAACAATGCCCTATAGAAGCCCCGTGTGCTTGGAAGCATTCTATGTTTGCCATCGACTGGGTCAGGCACCCAGAAAGGTAAGCATCCCAAAACAAATCCCTATTCTAGTGAAAATATTGCTACCAAAAGCCGAACAAGTGGATAGAACTCCCCAAACAAAAACGAGCAAACTAGTATGACGTCACCTATTGCTGGGCCGCCATCTGTGTAGCTCCCCCCTCCCCGGAAGGGAGAAGGGGAAGCCCCAGACCATATCGCGCCGGCGTGATCAGAGACTGCATTTTAATAATATAGGAGAAAATATATTTTGGAAAGAATTTATTTTCGGCATGTGGGTGTCATATTTTAATGCAGAGCAGTGCAGTGGTTAATGAAATCCCCTTAGGCCAGTGATTGACCTTTCCTAGGATGTAATCCACTAATGTTGCTAGGTGAACAGGGGGCATCACGTAATATGAAATGTACGCGAACGTTTCCATCCCGGCAGGAATAATTTGCCCAAATTTGTGAGAGAGGGTCACTATCTATAGTAGCCTGGATGGGGACTGGGAACTATGGGTTTGTCAAAGGTTGTCCCAGTATTCCTGATGATTTGTTCTAGCAGTGAATACAGGATCAAATAAAAGAACCAGAAACTTATTGCCTTCTGGGTGGATTTGCCTTTCCTTAGCAGACACAGTTGGACAGTTGGCTGGGTTTTCCTCCTGATGTAATAAAACGTTCATAATATATTTTACTTGGTGCTACTTTTTCTGCTAAAGCCTTGTAGGGAAGTTTGCTTTGGAAACTGGAGGGGAGCTTTACTCAGACATAGGGCGTTAATATGAAATGCTTCATTTTGAACATCCCCTCGTCCCCATTCATGCCCTTATTGTTCCTATTTGGGTCGGCTAAGTTTGGAGTTCCTGGTACCTGTATCCATGCTCTATAGCTAATGTGCTGCCATCTGGCAGTAGGCAGATGACAGGTAACCCATTACTTACTAGTTACCAAAATAACTGGCTATCATGGTGGCCCTAATTATCAATTATAAGAGATGTCAAGTGGCATAGTTCTGCTCTTGCATTATAGCAAATAATTGCTCTTGTATTGGATTAAAGAACTCTTCACTCTCTTCCCCCATTCTGAATTACATGGGTAGACTTATTGCATGTTTAATGGTGACTGGGAAGTAAAAATAGAGTTCCTAGCATCTTGGCAGCAGCCTAGGTGGACTTTGGCTGCTGTCTTGGGAAGTGACCAAAGCTGCTCAGAAAGTGGAGCATTTTTCATTACAGGCAGTCCCCTTAGAGTGAACAAGTTATGTTTTGGGAATGTTTATAAAACACTTGTTCAGAACATGAAACAAGGTTTCCATTGGTGCAATACTATAAATGGGGGGATGTGTTTCCGGTCTACTAAAAATCACAAAACCAATAATTTGGGGGACTCGTACAAAATGCAGCATATTTTTTTTTACCTTGAATGATGGTTATCTTGCTCATCAAAGACTCATAATATTTTCCTCCCTCCTCTTTAGCAATTTATTGAGAGTTGAATACATATGTTGGATAATGTGTGGTGCTCAGCCTTACACAGATCTATTGACATTTGTTATAAAGTGTTGGTGTAATAGTACTGAAAAATCTTTCCATTTTATAGTAGGACTACATGCAATGTTATATATTTCAGAACTCACTGGACCGAAATTAGTTAATTTTTTGTGAATTTATTTTATACAAGGTCTCCAGGAACACATCCTAAAAGTTAATGAGGATAATACTTAACTTTTCCTGTACTGGTACTTAGAATAAACAACTTTTTATTCTAGTGATCTTAATTCTGTAGTTTTTTAGTAATGTTGCAGATTAGATTCATGTTTGGTAAATAGTATATTTAATTAGATAAAATAAAAATTAAGTGTTAAAAGATAAATGATTTTGTTTTCGAGGTTTGTATCCGAGAGAATGTGCATGATATTTGAACACCAAATGGGCATGAGCATGGTACATAGTGATCATTGGTCTAAAAAGTATGTTTAGTACATTTTAGCCTGCCTGGCCAAGTTGCATATAATAATGCATTTGCTTAAATCAGGGATGTATCTGTGACTGATTAAAGCATTTTGCTTCCATAGAAGCACTGGATGCCAGCATGCGGGAAAATGGAGATTTGATGTCTCGTTCAGCTGGCCATTTCCCAGGTGGGGGACAAAATGGAGGAAGTTACCATGGTGGGAGCCATTATGGTACTCCACAAGGTACTCCTACATTGGGCACTCCTGCGGGTACTCCTCCTGGGCTCAAGGTTGCATCTATCAAAGTTAGACCTTCCTCAAAGCGCATGACGGCTGCGGAGGTTGAGGATATGTTGCATACGTCTGGTTCCCTTCCTTCTTCACCCCCGAGCACCCCAACCGGTCGTCAACCAAAAGTGTATGCAAGTGTAGCAGAGATGAAGAAGGCAAAGGTTTGTGCTAGCATTGGCACTGCAGCAAAAACAAAACCCTTTTAAAGATTTTTTTTTTATACTAATGTACATCCTGCATTTCTTAGATTCATTTCACTCCTTTATATTTCTTTTCCCTGCATCATAATTTTTCTGTTAAGCATCAGTGCTAAATAATTTTGTTTCAATAGGAATAGACTTTCATACTGTGTGTAGCTTTGGATGACCATTGTAGCACTGAAACCAAACTCTGCTTTTGGGGACATTTAAACAAATAAAAATTTGTGCTCAAGATAAATCTTTAATATTTCTTTAGTATTATATTTTTATACTTAAAAAATATTTTTTATATTAACTATTTTATCTGAATCTTATTCATACCATATATACAGTACTTCCTACCTGAAATAGAATGATGCTGCAAAATAAATTATTCCACTCCAAAACTTTCATGTAAATTATAGTTACAATGCATGACTTGTATAGCAATTATATTCCATGATCAAAACATTTATGACTGATCTAATATCATTCTTTTAGCAAGATTTTGAGGCATTAAAGTAGAGAAAGGTTTGAAAAATCTAAATGTTAGATATAAATAGTTAAATATTTCATAAGTACAGTACTATTCTTCCACTTAATGCAATACTTTTGTTTGCTTGTAGGCACTGAAGGCTCGGCAGGCCATAGACCTCAGCAGACTACACAAGGATTTCCATTCCACTCCAGACCTCAAGGCCGGGGTCACGGCCTCTCAGCTGGCCCTCACTATCGAGGAGAAGCGCAGATCTATATCACAGGAAGACCTCTTTGTCACAGCATTAAACGAACGCAATTCACGACACTCCCTTGCATGTCCGCCACACCGCTCGAGCACATTGGGGAGGACCATGGTGGGATCTCTAGAGTCTAAAGAATCATGGAATAGTGGTGAAGATGGGACAGAAGAAGAAAGCAGTGATTCTCCAAACTGTTCTCCAGGACCCATTGAATATCGAATGTTGAGACGATCACAGTCTGCTGTTAATACAGCTATGCTTCGCAAAGCTGGACTTCATCCTCCTCCAACTCATCCTCCTCCCCCACCACCACTTGGACAGCTTGTTAAAGTTGATATTAGTAGATCCAAAAGTGACTATGCAACAGTTGGCCAAGCACCATCAACTCCAGAGTCTGTGCCCATCTCTCCACTTGTACAGTCTAGTTTCCGACCTTCGGACTGTGCAAAGTTATATGCATCACCCGAGGAAATTAAGGCTGTTGGTTATCGTAGTCCAGATATGATGGCTGCTCTAAATCGTAAAAATAATGGTGTTAAAACACGTTCTCAAAGTTTGCCACCAAGTACCAATAGACCCAGTGTTCAAAGGGGCTCACCTGATAAGGAGTCTTCTCTTGATTCTGGGATATATTCAACCACATATTCAACTTTTCGAGGTACAGAGAGTGAAAACAGTAGAAATCAAGAGTCTCCATCATCTGTTAGTTCGCAAAAGACATCGGTTAGTGATCCAGTCACATATGCAAGACCAAAGAATAATAAAAGCATACATGAACTTAAAGATGCAGGTTCTCCTAATAAAGCATATACTGGACCAGGATCTGTTGCTTCTCCTGTCCCTGATATTCCTGAACCTGACTATAGTTCAGATGAAGATCACACATACAATTCTCAAGATGATTCACAAAGCAAAAAGACTAGAACATTAAAGAAGAAAAAGCAATCTGTTGCTTTTTCACCAAACTTGGTAACTGCTGATGAGCCATCAGATGTACTTCCATATGAATCATCCGACATACCTCACTATGCAGCTCCAGCCAAGAACCCAACGCCTCTCGGTGGCAACTTTAAGGAAATGATTGCTCAGAAAGCAGCAGAGAGACAAGCGCGGCAAGACGATGGAACTGAAGGTTCAAGGTCTGCTACATCTAGCCCCAATAAGAAAGTTAATGGTAATGGTAATGGAAAAGGCATCTCTGATGTAATTCAAGAGTCAGCATTATTTAATAAGCAAAAAGAAAAGACTATCCCAATTGGAGCTAAAGTGAGACCTGTTCCTTCTATGCAGAGAGAAGACTCTAAATCTAAGATGAAGAACTCTCATTCTTGTCCCACTGAGTTTCTAGAGGATGGTGACAATTCATCAAGTGGAGTTAGCTCTGACCAAGATGTTCATCCAGAGTCTAATTATGTAACTGTTATTAACACAGAGTCTGACACCATCTCTGCAAATAATTCAGAGAGATTTGGTTGTCATGGTTCTAGAGACGACAGTTCCGAGGCTTCGGAGAGTTCTGATGAGGCTAGTGACCGCACATGGATTTTAACCAATGAAAAGGGAGATAGAAGTGACTCTGGCAAGGACAGCGACAGCAATGGATCTCGCAGAACAGGCACACTTACTAGAAATGCAGTGTCATTGGTGAAGTTACCTCCCCCACAAGAAACAACTGAACCAGATGTAGAAGCAGAATTAGAAGTGGGACAAGCACGCATCATGTCCCAATCAGTTGATCAGGACACTATTAGCACACTGTCTTCACTGAGTAGCTTATCGTCAGGTTCTGGTAGTACAGGGGAAAGAGAGAGGCAGCATCTACCCCACAATGTTCCAGTATCTGTTTCTGCTCAGATGAGAGCCACTCTTCCTAGACTCTCGTCTAGTTCTTCAGGTTCCAGAGCCAGTTATACTCCTCCAGTTAGTCAAGCAATTAAAGCTACAATTGGAGGATCACTCAATCGTAGCAGGTCTGCCTCTAGAGATCAACACTGGGGTCCTGATGGTGACATGCATCCTTTTAGGGAGAAGAGTGCACCTCCCACATCTCGTTGCAGTTCTTCTGATAGGAATATCTATAAGAAAAGTACGAATGTTGACACGGGAGAAGCAGAATATGAACGAAGTATTGAAGAGTCCCTCCAGTTAATTCGCATGCATATGGATTCCTTAAATGAAGTAAACTCATTGGCAGGAGTGTCATTACCAGAACAAGCTGGTGGTGGTGGTAGTGGTGGTGAAATGGTTCTTGCACCACCCCCAGAATTTTGTGACATGTCTTTAGGTGAACCCCAGAACAGGAGAAACAAGACAGTTATTCATATATCTAGTGATGATTATGATTCCCCAGGAAATGTCATGGGAAGTAGGCATAGAGATAGAGATGAAGATGAAATGCCAGGTTTCAGGCGTAAAACTCTCACTGAATGGACAACACGTGACACAACTGAGTGGCTTGAAAGTATCTTTATGCCCGAGTACAAAGATTCTTTTGAGGAACAAGATATTGATGGTAGAAAATTAATGGGTATAAACAATGATACACTTATTAATTTGGGAGTGAGAAGAGTTGGACACAGAGTCAACATGGAAAAATCTCTAAAACGATATAAACCTACTGAAAGAATTGATCTTTGAGTTCAACAAATCATCATCGGGCTATTTACTAAAAATACATTAAACATGTTAAGAAATATGAGATTATGTGGTTCTTGTGATGTATTATACTCTTGGCATTATGTCATTATTATGATTGGTAAATTTTCCACTGAAATTAGAAATGATCATATGACTCATGTAGGTGGCTATACATCGATGAAACCCTCAGGTTTACCGAAAAATATTTTTCCTGGAGATAACCTTTTGTCCATTTTATATTCACAAGTTTTCATGATCATTTTTCATGAGCCCTTCATTCGTCATTCAGAATAGTTTTGAGTGTTTCGAAGACATAGTTGTAACCTTTTCACTTATAACGTCCAACTTGTAAACATTATTGAAAGAGTAGACAATAACCAAATAGAAACCTTATTCTTTGTTTAAGACAGTGATTTTGAATTTTCTCAAAATCCATTATGTATTTATATTCTTTGATAGTTTAAAGCCAGAGGATTTCCTTTTCATGGCTTTTTAAAACTATGAATTCAATAATGTATAAATCTTAAGAGATTGATTAAATGGGGTTATATCAGGCAGGCGCATAGTTCTATCATTGGTATAAAAATTAGTGATGAAACTAATGTTTATTCACATGTAAAAAAGAAAATTACAAACATTAGACCTAGATATTGTATAACACTGAACATTATCCTCCATGACAGCAAATTATCAGTCTGCTTCTCTCCTCTCTTTGTCCAGCTGGTCAGGTCAGAGCAAGCAGCTGGTTGGAAGTTTTCATCATATAGGTCTTTGATATTTACTTATTATGGTCACAAAATATTCTTGCATGTTAGGTGGTCGTCATTTCATGCTGTGTGGCCATTGATATGCTAGGTACTTGCCAATGCACACTAGGTGGCCATCGATGCATGCTAGGTGCCCATCAATACATGCTTGGTGATCATCAATACTCATTGTGTGTTGCAACTACTGACTTTTTATACCTGTAGTATTTTATATATATAAATATATATATATATGTAGCATAACTATTATGTACCAGGCTGTTTAAATAACTTCTGCCGAAGATAAAGAAAGAAGGAAAACTTAAGTATTTCTGGATTATAAATAAACATATGTGTTTGTACAAAGAAGCTGTTGATAGTGTAAATACTGCAGTCGTATCATAAACTTCATTTGACACAATAAGTAATGCATAAATGTGTATATATGGTTCTCTTTTTGCTAGTAAATATTGTCTAATCTGTTTCTGCCAACCCATTTTGTGTGCCAAATGCTTCACTGCAAGAAATGAAATGTATTCCAGAGAGCTGGAGTGTGATGAAGCTCACATGATCAGAAATAGCTCCACTAGTATGAGTGTGATAATGAGCCAGAAATATCAATTTGCAATCATATAAAACATTTAAATGACAAAGGAGATGAGAGACCCAAAAAGTGGGTAGTATTTTTCTTATTGTGTGAATTTTTTTTTAGAAAGGTTTAGGAGATTGAAACAAATTTGAATTTGACAGTGAAGTTTATATTGATATGATAGAAATAGGGTCCAATAACAATGAAAGTTAAATTAATATATTTGAAGCTTGTGAACTCTTCACAGCTGGAGCAGTTTCTGCATGGACAATCTAGTAGAAACATGGTCAATCTAGAATTGAAGTTTTGAGCAAATACTACTAGCTATGAAATTCAGATTTTGTACAGTGATAAGTATTTCAGATGGCTCGTCTGCATGGTTTGCCATATTGTCCTCTGATTGGCAGTCCTCAATGAACCCTGTGATTGGTAACTAAGCTGTGCTCAAAGTGAGTTTGGCATTTAGAGCTAATAGCATACTTCAGTAAGGCTTCTTGCTCTGTGTTCTTGAAAAATTAAGCATCATTGGTGCTTTTGGTGATAGTGTGTCTTGTGCTTTTTTTTCCTCTCTGATTTTTGGCAATATTGATGGTGCTGATCAATTTTTAAAATATTTATATTTTTGTTTGACATACTTTTTTACTAAAAAATCACAGGAAATTAGGCTTATTGAAATAATGCATAGAGCTGAGCAGGGGCTAATCTGATGACTTGTTTTGATAGATCCATTAATGCTGTCCTAACACTACCGTCTAGTCTTGTCCGCTGGAGGAGCTAACCATTTCTATGCGGATTTTTCCTAAATACAAAATTGTTTACAAATTTTAATTATTTATCCAGAGATATGTATGTGCATCTGTGCTCAATAAAGTTTAATACTTTTAATGGCATATTTTTTCACTTTTTTTTTCCAGCCTATTGTCGTCATGAGGGGGCTTGGTGGGCGGCTGCCAGGGTATGATGCTCAATGGGACAGTCGTCTGTTCTTTTGAAGCCTCATGCTCCTGCTGCTGTCTTTACAAATTGTGCTGGATGGCTTTTTTCTCTTCCTTGCATTTCATTTTTCCTCCCCCCCCCCTCCCCCTCTTCTACTTTCTCATTGTCTTTCCCACCGACCTTTTGGCATTCTTGATTATTCTTCAGTTTTGATGCCCGGGTGTTTGGGAAGGTGCACTCACTCGCCCATAGAGATGTGGTACCCGACATTGCATATGAAGGAACCCTTTTATTGTCAATCCTCGCCTTCGTTGCTAAACCCGATCTCGATGGACTAAAGGTTCTTAACCTTTAAACTGCGCAAAATATTGTATATATATATAATATATATAATAATATACAGTATATAAGTATATTTTGGTAGCAGTTTTTCTTGTAAACGTGTTGTTAAATATGACCGAAAAAGTAAGATTAATAATTCTAACACGAATTTTCTCTTATGTTGCTTTTTACTGTCGATGATAATTGAAAAATAAATTCTCCAAAATTCCTTTTCATTTCTAGTCTGACGCGATGCTTGAACGCGTTTCGTAATAACTTATTACATTTTCAAAGACTAGTTTACACACACACAACTGTAACCTGAAAACACTAAACACACTAAACAGAGTTTTACTTATGCTAACACTAAACAGCTTGCCTTATATACTCCCATTTGGGTGAGATGATATGTTGCAACAGTTTTGGATGAGGTGAACAAACTTTTGACCAACACAAGACATAACACGGAACAATGGGTATTAATTGGATAAATGAGAGGGAAGAATGGAAGTAACTGCAAAGGGCCTATTGGCCCATACTTCCTCTTGATGCTTCTATATTGGCACAGTCTTGAAGTGGGTAGAATATAGTTGTGCATTAATTGGCTGTTGATTGCTGGTGTTGACTTTTTGATGTGTAGTGCCTCGCAGATGTCGAGCCGCCTGCTATCGCTGTATCTATCGATGATTTCTGTGTTTAAGACTTCTCTGGTGATGGTCTGGTTGTGGGAAGAGATTATATGTTCCTTAATGAAGCCCTGTTGCTTCCACACCCATCGCCGTTTTCAGTAATTAGCATATTTTTGGTATAAAAGGTCGTAATTTGAGACTGAAAATAGGTGCAGAGTGTCAGAATTCGGCTCAAAAACCATGCGCAGGAGTAAAATTTCCAACATTTCAGATATCTTGAAAACTGCAGGGGGGTTTGGGCAAAATATGACCCATCGCCGTTGTCAGTAATTTGCGTATTTTCGGAATAAAAGGTCGTAATTTGAAAATGAAAATAGGTACCGAGAGTCAGAATTCCGCTCAAAAATCACGCTCAGGAGTCAAATTTCCGACATTTTAGATATGTTTAGAACTGCAGGGGTGTTTGGGCAAAATATGACCCATCGCCGTTTTCAGTAATAAGAATTTTTTCTAGTCCTTCATCCCCCAAACTAGCCCACTTTCCCCCATACTCCGCTTCACTCCCCCATACTCGCCCATACTCCCCATAGATACTAGAAAAAATGCTAATTACTGAAAACGGCGATGGGTCATATTTTGCCCCCCCCCCTTGTAGTTTTCAAAATATCTAAAATGTCGCAAATTTGACTCCTGAGTGTTTTCTGAGCCGAATTCTGACTCTCTGTACCTATTTTCATTTTCAAATTACAATCTTTTATACCGAAAATATACTAATTACTGAAAACGGCGATGGGTCATATTTTGCCCAAACCCCCCTGCAGTTTTCAAAATATCTGAAGTTTCGGAAATTTGGCTCCTGAGCATGATTTTTGACCCGAATTCCGACTCAATGCACCGATTTGCATTTTCAAATTACAACCTTTTATACCGAAAATATGCTAATTACTGAAAACGGCGATGGGTCATATTTTGCCCAAACCCCCCTGCAGTTTTCAAAATATCTGAAATGTCGCAAATTTGATTCCTGAGCGTGATTTTTGAGCCGAATTCTGACTCTCTGCACCTATTTTTATTTTCAAATTACGACCTTTTATACCGAAAATATGCTATTTACTGAAAACGGCGATGGGTCATATTTTGCCCAAACCCCCCTGCAGTTTTCAAAATATCTGAAGTTTCGGAAATTTGGCTCCTGAGCATGATTTTTTATCCGAATACCGACTCTCTGCACCTATTTTGCAAGTATAACAGTGGGGTCAACGGACCTTGGGTGGCTTATGGCTGCCTCTAGACTTACTTTCCTTAGGCTTAGCCCCGCTCCCTGAGGCTTGGTCACGACGTCGGTTCTCAGAAGAACCTCCCTGTCTAGGTCTGTGTGCCTCAGCCCACCTGTCAGCACATTTTCATCTCATTTTCCTTGAGTTTTGCACGGAACACATGTTCCTTGCCTACCTTGTTCCACTGCCTCCTGGAACTGTTCTCTAGTCATCAGCTCAAACGTATCATCTTCCGGAACGACGGCGTTGTTTAACTCAAAATAGCGCTTGAGGCTCGACTCTAGCCTCTGCAACATGGCCCGGTACGTCTCCCCTTGACGCACTCTAATCTGACGGAATGTCCTAATCATTCCATCGGCCGAAATTCCATAGCCTTTCATTAAGGCTCGCTTCAGTGCATCATAATCGTTGCATATGGGGGTTCCCAAACTCTGGTATATACTTAACGCCCTTCCCTTCAACAATGAAGCTAGCGCTTGGGCCCAAGTTGACCTACTCTACTTCCCTTCCGTTGCTCTGCGTTCGAAGCGGTCAATGTATGCATCAACTGAATCCACTTGCTCGTCGATAGCTATTAGATTAGGCATTTTTATCTTAACAACTGAGTCACGTGACACCAGCCTCTGATGTTGATGCCTTTCGGCGGTCTTGCCTTCAAGTCTTCCTACTTGGAAACCTGAACACTGCTACCTTCAACACTGGCAGTGTATCCTCAGGATGGATATATGGTCCACAACTAGTCACTCGAAGTGTTTAAGGTCCACTACCGCCCCTAGGATTGGTATGGGGTCCACTATCACCTGTAGGATGTTAATGGGATCCACTACCAACTGTTGGATGAGTATGGGGTCCATTACAACCACCTAGGATGGGTACGAGGTCCACTACCACCTGTAGGATGTTAATAGGGTCCACTACCAACTGTTTGATGACTTTGGGATCCACTACCACCCCTAGGATGGGTATGGGGTTCACTACCACCTGTAGGATGTTAATGGGGTCCACTACCAACTATTGGATAAGTATGGGGCCCACAACCGCCCACAGGATGGGTATGGGGTCCACTATACCGCCCACATCTGTGCGGTAGTTACCTCATACCAATCTTGTGGATGGTATTTGACCCCCATACCCATTCTATGGTCGGTTGTAGGCCCCATACCTATCCGATAGGCGGTAGTGGACCCCTTACCCATCCTGTGGGCGGTAGTGGACCATATACCCATTCTCTTGGCGGTAGTGGGCCCCGTATCCATCCTGTGAGTCGTAGTGGACCATATACCCATCCTCTTGGCGGAAGTGGGCCCCATACCCATCCTGTGGGTGATATTGAAACATTAGTCGACACAGCAAAACTCAGTCACTCGGCAAAAATCTGCTATCAGAACAATAACAAATTCTGCCTTCAGACAACACTCAGTCCCCCTATTTAACTCCCTAAACGTGCTAAACATAACCTCACTCCACACATTCTCTTTTGTCATTTACATTTACGAAACCCTGTTCATAAATACAAACCCCTGTTCTGAAACTCTTCCTGGACAGATATAATAGGACCAATAATCACCACGCCAGAAATAAATAAATCTTTGATATCCCCAGAGTCAAACTTAATCTGTGTAAACACACTATGCAAATAAAGAGACCCAGTCTTTGGAACTCACTCCCTAACGAATTGAAAAGCTGTCCGACTTTTGCTTTATTCAAAAACAAAAACAAAAAGTACATAATTTCATCTTCATAGTTTCCTACCTGATGCTTTAAACTTGCACTGTATCTAGTACTTCCCAATCCCCTAATATATTTACCTAAGCTATACAACTTTACCATTGTAATCATTGCTGTCATGTTATATGTGTTATCAATGTGCTTTTATTTGCCTACTAATCTTTGTCAAATTTTCTTACAATGTACCTGTTAACATTTTATAAATTTTGCTAGAAATTACCTACTTCAAATCAAATCAAATGTTTATTTAGGTAAGGTACATACATACAAGGGATTTTACAAAGAGTGATGGATTTATAGATAGGGCTAGTACATACAATGCCTAAAGCCACTATTACGCAAAGCGTTTCGGGCATGAATATTATCTGTTAGATTTTATCTACTAAATATTATCTGTTAGATTAAGGACCGGCCCGAAACGCTGTGCGTACAAGTTCAAGTTCAAGTATGTTTATTGAGATAAGCAATAAATACATCTCAAAGGGATAGAGTAGCTTAGGCTATTTCTACCCCCCTCTACTTAAAGTCCCTCAAGGGGCGCACAAATTCAGTGAGTACAAATTGACATGTAACAGTACAAGAATCCCATTTAACAGTGCATACAGCAAGTACAGCATATAATTGTTACATTCTTGGGGCAAAATTCTTGTAGCTCCTAAGTATACTGTCTATTATACCATTATCACACATCCAAACAATTTGATGTGGTACACTATTTATTTCCATATTTCTATATTTTTCAATAAGGTGACACTCTAATACATAATGTTCTAAGGTGTGGGCGTACGGCATACTACATAATTTACACTCCTTATCTTTTTCACTGACATCAACACCGTATTGCCAGATATATTTATATCCTAACCGTAATCTCATGTAAATTGAATCCTTCCAAGTAGACTTTCCTTTACCATAAGTGAAGGACGAATTTGTATTTATTATTGAATAATTCTTAAGTGTGTTACTACTGTCCACTGTAGCGAGTAGATTATCC